GAGAGGATGGAGAAGAGGAAGGATAAACCAATGATAGAAGATGCAACGAAAAAGGTAGCAGTGAGGTTTCCACGCCACAAAATAGACGCTTGGTACCTTTATGGCGGCTGTAGTCGCCCTCGCGTTAGCAAATAATTACTTTCTGTGTGATTTACTCTAATTAAAGAAGGCTATTTTTGGTGAATATCTTTAACCAGAACTTAACTAACCGCGTCATTTATCTTTCCAGAGTAATCAGAGGGACACGAAATTCAGTCGACGAATGCGGTTGAATACTAAACAGACTGAGAGGAACCGATTCCAACAATAAGTCTTTTCTGGATTCAAAATGTTGACAGTTTCAATGCATTTATTTTGACTGAATTACTGTTATGCTATAATGATTATTACATAATCTGTAGTGCAATTAACCTCACATATATATTTTTAGGGCAGATGACATCGTTAAGTGCATTTGTAATATTTACAACTTTAACCTAAACGTTATTCCATAATGTCGATCTGGAAAAAATAACTTAACTCTATAATAGAATATCTCACGGTCATTTACGAAAGTTATCAATAATTAGCAACTGTAGTCAATATAACTTTTAAAATGTCAAAACTCCAAAGGCTTAGCGATTGATCTTTCATTTAATGTAAATATAGCTTCACTATGAAACTTCTACGGACAACCACACTTTTAAAATAACAAGTGCAACTATTGACACCAAGACGTGACAGTAACAGTGTTTAGGCTCAAATGTTGGGGGAACACATGGCAAATGGGAACACATCAGTACTTAAATATACATATATATATATATATATATATATATATATATATATATATATATATATATATATATATATATATATATATGTTTTGCAGAGACCAACTTAATCACAAGTCAGCAATTCAGATCAAGCCTGCTCTTTTTAGGTAAAATCTGAACACCCGTCGGTCATAGTGAACACATCACGTATTATAATGCTTATACAACAAATTAAAGTTAAACAACAAATGATAATCTAATGACAGTATAACCTAATTGTGAGGCTTAGATATCAATGCATAATAACAACAATAGCAATGGTAATAACAACGAAAAGGGTTACAATGGAAATGAGCACTAAACCGAAGACAGATTTAAACAAGAATGCCAATAATACAATAACGACAATTAGAAAGAGAAAAAATGATCTCAAAGAATTCCTCTATAAGTATTCAATAAAATCAAGCCGCAGCAATACGTTTCTTACGGCTCCTGAAATATCTACAACAAATTTCCAAATATGAAAAATAAAGACACAACTCATTAGGGAGTAATCAGTTAATACTTAATCCCTTATCTCTGATGGGTTACAAAATCATCCTGATATGTGACAGAATATCACATGATATTATCGAAGCTTCAAGTTGACGCTGTTGTAACTCTTACCTCGTAATGAGTAATAGCGCTAGGGTAAGAACCGTTTCGCGGAGGCAATGCCTTTGGTTCGAGGCAACGGGTTCCATGAGTGACGAAAGGGATTCATCAGTCTGTGCGTGAGTGTAATGCCAGGGCTTCTGAGTGGCTGACTCGTACGCGCAAACCCCGACTTCCTGTTCGATACCAGCTTTGCCACTGTACCGGTCGAATAATTTCTTTGTCTTCCCTCGTTGCACTGCCATGGTACTGCAGCGTTTGCGTTATCCCTCCTGCCATAACGAAGTTCCCCGCAACAGTGAGCGCCGGCACTCTGTCCTAACTACGTAAAGTGCATATTAACGGTCAACTTTGTAGGCGGCCACGGAGCGGGCGGGTTCGAGCGCGCTTCGCCTCACTTCCTCTACGACTTGTTGAAAAACGCACAACCAATTTTGTCTCCGAAGTACGAAAAGAGAATACTACGTGGCGTTCCAATTTACTCAGGATTTTAGTAATACTCACTTTTATAGAAATAGCAGCACGATCTCGTTCGAAACAGACGGCATTATTTAGCTAGCAAGACACCAGAGCACACGACACGCCATTTTTATCAAGGTTGACGCGACGCAGATTCAATTTCCATTTTACCGAAAAAAGGGATTGATAGATTTTGTCATTCAAGAGAAGTATTTACAGACTGCCATAGTTCTGTTGTCCACGAAATCCCCGCGTGCTAAGGAGAGGCCGAGAGCTCAACCTCGGCCCCGGGAGAGTTGGCGCCGTGAACGGGACCTGAGCAACAGCTCGAGGGAAATGCACGCCGGCCTTCGGAGGTGTCTGAACGCTGTCCCACTTTTCTCCGCCAATTATGCGCAACAGAGAGACTAGGAAAATACTATGTTTAGGTCCCTGATCGTATGGTCTAATGAGGAAGGAACTGAAAAGTCTTCTAAACGCCATGGAACCATAAATCTGTCAAACAAGACGACTACTGACCTTAACTCTTGACTGTGTTTCTCCTACGGGATAAAGGCGCTGCTCGGCACCGCACGGCGCAGGACGAGTCTCGCATCGCAATGAACACAGCTTTCCTATCGTCAGATTAGTTGGTCTAATATGAGGGGTACATGATGCAAGGAGTCACCAAGCTTAGATAAGCGGCTAATTGTATGATATGTACTCAAAATTATAAACTTACGCAAACTACTATCACCAACAAGGGACATAAATAGTTAAACTGTCAAGGAAAATAATAACCGTCATCTACAACACGCACAATAATGAAAATACTCTTTATGTGATCTTAATATTATGTAGGTCATAAATGTATCCTAAAATCACCATATTTTTTATATCTTCCTCAGAAATGATTTATCATACATAAGGTTATTTATTATGCGTCGAGCAACGCCGACTGCGCAATACTTCTTTCTTTTTTTTACACCGATTTCAACCTATGGCAACAGTCTAGTTCTCCTCCACTTCACTCTGGCGTATGTCGTGCACTTCTGTCTGTGCGGACATACCTGCTCTGCATGAAGGGGAGTTGCAGGAGGGGGGGGGGTACGGGCGGGGCAGCGAGGTTCAAAAGGAGGGCGAAGCTGCACCCAGAGCGCTGCCAGGTATAGGGGAAGCAGGGGTCGGAGTTTCTACAGGCAGACACGCATACCTGTACACACACAAGTGCATACATTCACTTATACATACATACATGTATGCATATTAATTTTCAGATATACAAATCCAAACACAAGAAGGCATACACACATACACACACACACACACACACACACACACACACACACACACACACACACAAACACACAACATATCTGTGTATGTATGCAAGTGCATCAACATATCCCCATACAGACAACCTTACTTTCCTTCGTGGGCGCCGGAGAGTGCGAGGGGACGAGGGGGGGGTGATGGCAGGGTGAGCATGGGTGGAGGACGAGGGTAGGGGGAGGGGCGTGGGCAGGGTGAGTATGGGCGGCGGTCTTTAGTGAGTGAGGTGAGATGAGACGAGGGGGGCTCAGATATTATTATGCCTGAGAGTTTTTAAATAACGTTGGAAACACTGACAAGAGGAAGTTTGGGTCTAAACCGTAGGGGGTCAAGGTGCTTCGTCAGAGTATGACGCTTAAGACTACGATGGAATTAATGATATTAAATAGATTAAGAGGTCGACACAGATGGATGTAATATATCATAGTTACACATATAACATTGTGCAGATGCGTTTGATGCCGAGGATCAAACATTCTAGAGAAGCTATTTTATATGTTGAGAGGTAAAGGTAGGAGGAAGAGGAAGAGGAGGAAGAAGGGATATGGAGGAGGAGGTGGAGGAAGAGGTGGGGGAAGAGGGGGAGGAAGAGGTGGGGGAAGAGGGGGAGGAAGAGGTGGAGGAAGAGGTGGGGGAAGAGGGGGAGGAAGAGGTGGAGGAAGAGGTGGGGGAAGAGGGGGAGGAAGAGGTGGAGGAGGAGAAGGGGGATAATCAGAAGAAGAAGGAGGAGGAGGAGGAGGAAGAAGAAGAGGAGGAGGAGGAGGAGGGAAGAGGGTTAGGAGGAGCAGACGGACTGGGATGGGAGGTTAAAAGCAGGATAAAGTCGGTAGATACAGAAAAAAAAACAAAGAAAACAAATCTGATATAGAGTGATAAGTGAGGTGCCGAATAGCAAACGGCGTTGGAAGAGACGATGGAAGAAAAAAGGGATGATAAATGAAGAGGAAAGAACACGAGAAACGAGAAGGAGAAAAGGATGGGTGGTGGGAATGCAGTCCAGGAGTAAGGGAGGGGGGGCGAGGGCAGGAGGGAGGAGGGGTCGAGGACAGGAGGGAGGGGGGGAGCTGGAGAGTGGGGTAGGGCAGGTTCCTTCGAGGATCTGAACAGGAGGGAACAAATGGGAGGGGGGAGGGGGGAGGGAGCGTTTCTGTTTGCCTTAAGCTTATGCAACAAAATATTCAGATTTATTGAATACATTACACATGCAGAAACTGGTTCCTAACTACAGCTCATCCTCAATCTAATGTTTTGTTAGTCAACATCTAGACTAGACCAGGCGGGGCAGCGGAAGCTCTTGCATCTTATGCTCTGAACCAGTAACAAGTGGACAGCTATATATAGTATCTTATAAAATCTATATATTTTTTCACAGAAGTCTCCTAAAATCACCATCTTTGTACAGTCAACGAATACGCTAATTCACACACCGGATAAATACGCGTTATAAAAACACCCTAAGGCAATGAGAACAAGTGTCGGGGATGACCGTGTGATGAGGCGGGGGGGGGGGGGGGGGGGGGGGTCCTTGACATCGGCTGGGTCCCTGATGTCACGGAGAGGGGGTGGGGGTCCCTTGACATTGGCTGGGTCCCGGATGTCACGGAGAGGGGGGGGTGGGGGTCCCCTGACATGGGCTAGGTCCCGGATGTCACGGGCGGGGGGAGGGCGTCCCGGGAGTGACTTGGCGAGGGCTGCACGGGGGCTCCTGGCGGGCCTCTCGCGGGCAAGGGCGGCGACGCAGACGGGGATCCTTGGCAGCGCGGGTTCGTAGCGAGGAGGCGCGGGTGGAGGGAGTGGAGGAGGGCGAGAGGTGGAGTCACGAGGTGGGAGGCGCTGCAGCGAGTGGAGTGATGGAGGTGGCGGTGGAGTGGCGCGAGAACTAGACTCTGGCGTATTACAAGTAAGCCGGCTTGCAGGTGCAACATAACGCGCTCATGTTGCGGTAGAGGGAGCGTCGCGTCCGCTTCTTGCTCCACAGGCTGAACATGTCCTCGCCCGTGAGCGCCAGGTTCCTGTTGGCGGCGTCCTCCTGCAACAG